CGCATAAAATGTCCCTAGACCATGTTACTGCATGGAGTTCCGAGAGTTTGATATGCAGCCACTCCCTCGCCTCCCGCCAGAAATTTGTTGCATGTGTGCATTTCACTAGTGCATGATACAAATCTTCGTCTGCATCAAGATAGACTTTGCATCGAGCCAACGTTGCTATGTGTCTGTGTTTGAGGGAACTTTCTGTAGGCAAAATTCCTCTTAACACTCGCCACCAGAACACTCACACCCTTGGCACAACTTTCAGCTTCCAGAGTCTAGTCCACATCTGCTTTTGTTTCTCTGAAGATTATGTAACCGTCCCTTCCTGAAGAGCAGCATACTCGTTCCGAGTCATTAGAAAGCGGTACACGGATTTAACAGAATAGTTACCAGACTGTTCAGCGGTCCATGCAACAGAGTCAGGTCCACCGCCAATCCTCAGGGGATATTGAGAATGGCTTTTGCTTCGGGAGCAATAAAATGTTCTCTCACCATATCAACTTTCCACATGCCTATGTCCACATCAATTAGCTCAGAAACTGTTGCTATTGCAGTGTTACCTATGTGAACAGATGACTTCAGGGAAATCAGCCCGGGCACCCAGCTGTCGTGCTAAACCGACACCGTAGTGCCATCTCCAACTCGTTTAATCAGCCCCGCACCCAGCGCTGTCCTGCCGGCGATGATCGCCCTCCACGTAGTCGAGGCACACTTTGGGATGGTGGCCTCCATGAAATCATTGTGCGGGAAATACTTGCCCTTAAGGACGCGAGCACAAAAGGATCCCGAGTTCGTGATCAGATTCCAGCCATGCTTTCCCAATAAAGCTAAATTGAAGAGCTCCAAGTGACGAAAATCCATCCCTCCAGCAGTCACGTATTCATGTGCGTTTCTGGAGTGCCACTAGCCGCCGGCCTACCGGTGCAGTGCATACATGATACATGCAACGTATCGGGCGAGTTGTTGGCACGCATTCACGACGACCGGGCGATGGGCATGCATGCAGCCCTTCCACTGTGCTCTGTAATTAAGCTGATAAGATCAGACAGAGCCTTGGCTTGGTTGTCACGTCCGCATCTCGGGCCACACGTTGGCACAGCACGCTGACAAGTCTAGGGACAAAACTCGCCTCGTCCCATCGCCGATTCGCCAGCACATGACCGGAGCGTTCTGCATTCTCCGAGCAACCATTGTGCTAAGTGGAAAATCGGACCATTAACGTAGTGTTGTTTCGAAAAAAAAAACTAGTGTAGTTTAACTCGCCCGTATTTATGTACTACGAGTATGTACTCCCTCCTTTTTCTACTCCCTTCGTTCAGAAATAAGTGTCTCAACCTTAGTACTCCTTTCGTTTTTATTTAGTTCGCATATTAGCTTTGGTCAAAGTCAAGCTTTACAAATTTTGACCAAGTTTATATACAAAAATATTAAGATATACAGTAACAAATCAACAACAATAGATTTATTATTAAATGTACTTTCACATCGTATAGATTTCTTATGATAAATGTCTATATTGTTTTCTATAAACTTGGTCAAACTTTATGAAGTTTGACTTCAGTCAACTCTAATATGCAGAGTAAATAAAAACGGAGGGAGTACAACTTTGTATCAAAGTTAGTACTTCCTACATTTTTATTTAATTCGTGTATTTGCTTTAGTCAAAGTCAAGCTTTGTAAATTTTGATAAAATTTATAAACAAAAATATTAACATATACAATAACAAATCAATACCATTAGATTTATTGTTGAATGTACTTCCACATCATATAGATTTGTTATAGTAAATGTTTGTACTTTTTTTTATAAACTTGGTCAAACTTTATGAAGTTTGACTTCAGTCAACTCTAAAATGCAGAGTAAATAAAAACAAAGGGAGTACAAAGTTAAAACACTTATTTTGGAACAGAAAAAGTATTCACTACTCATTGTACGTACGTGCTATGTGCCAATCTCCCTCCAATTCCCGATAGCTAGGAACAGCTGCACAAGTTGGTACACACGTCGATAAACAACGTTGGTTCACGGGTGGTAGCATGGGCGGGATCGAAACACAGCAAGAAGAGGACAAATTCAGTGTTTTGACCCTTATGCGAAAGTTTAACCCGTTTACAATTTTTTTTCGAATCTGGCCTTTTTCCTACCAACGTAGACGATGGCGATAGGATATAACGGGCTATCGCCATGGTCAACGGTGGTAGGCTACTGGTCAACGTGATGATGTGGCAATGATGTGGCAAGTGGCTACCGCCACACCATTTGGCGGTAGCACCTGGCCCGACTTCGACATTATATATAAAGTGCGTTGCCATACAGGACCGAAGCAATCTGATGGTAATGGCTAGAGCGGGCAGCTCATCAGAATTTGATTATGTGTTCGAATCCAGGCAAAGGGAAACTCTTTTGTGAATTTTTTTACTCAATAAAAATGAAAAATAATCTAACTATTGTAGGATATGGATTATTGTTAAAAAAATTACTTATATGTAACTATTCTGACAACATTATTATATCTACTCTTATAAAAAGTAGAGTTGATGATGATGGTGTGCAACGAGGGAAGGAAACTATGACAATTTACCCGCACTCCTCTCCACATTTGCAGATACGGCTTTCCGTTTATCCTTTTCTCTCACAAGATAAACTACTCATACAAATGCATCTTAATGTTCCGTGCAATGCACAGACATCTTGCTAGTATGTATGAAATAGGGTCAAATCTGTACCTAAAATTTTGGTTAAAAATACAAGTATTTGCAAGTCGTGCTAAGGAAAAATAGGACGCGCTAATTTTCAAGGCATAACACTAATCCACTTTAGCAGAAACACATTCCTTTTTATTTACACATCTGCGCTCATGCACGACGTCTCAGCTAGAAGAGCGCCATGACCTCGATTGATTGTGGCCAGTGGACTGGAGCGGCTGTTTCAACCGAAATTTGTGCGGCCTGTTGGGCTCCGAGATCACATCATCAGCTCTCTCATAAGCTACACGATTACATCATTACATGTATAGATCAGGTGTTATTCTTGGGCCGCTAAATCCACAGATGACTATGAGTGGCAGATGCACGCACCGGCCATTCTGTTGCTTAGTTGTACTAACCGTGGACTATCCGCTTATGATTGGCACTACCTCGCTTGTCATAGCATGTTGTTGGGTTAGACTATACATTAGATTTGAGAGGCTATATATAGTATAGTAGTACAGCTTAAGCTTCTGCACATTCTATATACCTAGCTAATCTGAATACAGAGCGCCTTTCCTGCGTATCAAATTGACTACGCAAAGTCGTATGAATCTAGTGAGTAGATGGGTATGCTGTTGCGTGAGCCACATGCTCCTATATGCCACACCATGATTATTACCACTCTGGAGTAACCATTTGCGTTCGCAAGGTACGTACCCACTATGTACGTTAAGTTAAACAAATGGCGATTCGATGACCTTAACCGCGTAGTCAGCAAGTTAGCGTGGGTATTTGACATGTAGAGCTTCTAGCTAGGGCACATGACAAAGCTCGATTTGGTGCATGCAACACATATGATTAGCACAACGATGAATAAATTGGCATATAGGCTAGCGTATAGATCTTCTTGCAATATCGTTTTCATTCTAATGCAGATCGACGGAATCTCTGGTCGGTGAAATGATAAGTAAATCAATATACTACTTGGTAGCAGGCTCAATGGTTTTGGAAACCAATCATTTTTCGTCAAACAGGGTGCTAGGTAAAGATGTGCGCCATTTCAATTGTTTGTCTCTGCTAATCATGCATGTATCTTGTTCCACCACAATAAGATCTAGTAGTCTGGTGGTTTCCAGCAAAAGAACAATGTAGTTTTATGCTGTGCATGTCAACGTCAACCACCCATTTCGTTTGTTGTAGAAACAACAAATCAACAATGAGGAGAGTAAGTTCCTCAATTATGTTGATGTAGCCCCCCATATGTTCTTTTATATTGTTAAGTGTTATGTCATAGAAAATCTCTCGTTCACGAGGCAAGTTGTTGCATCAGTAGTTCCACCTTCAAAGTCCAAACTGACTGCAAAGTAGACAACATTTTCATGAAAAGTTGTATTATTATGTGTGTTTATAGGTGTTTAAGAAAAACCTTCTACTCATCAGATAACTCTCAACTCAACAATATGCTAAGGAACAAAAATGTTTGGCCACCATATGACATTTGTTTTTTCTCAAGAAATGAATAATCAGATTTATAATTAGTTGGTCACCGTGGGAACATAACAAATTCGTCGATCAGCACACAAAGCATACATTATTGTTCTTACACGATGGGCTAGCGACATCTCGTACGAGTCAAACGGTTAGTGCAACTAAGCAACAGAATGGCCGGTAAAGATGATGGCTTCAGATGTACTATTTTGTAAGGTCTTTGTGAATAAATAATAAAGTGGTTGCACGCATCACCCAAATGCAGAGGCTAAGGGTATTCCTCCTTTTTTTTTCTAAAAAAAACGGTCGACTGACCCAAATTCGACAATCAGACGACCTACATTTAGCCATTTCCCCTCCCCAACATCATGACAGAGGAAGACAAGCTTGTAAATGGGTGTTATTCCCAGCAAGGAGTGTTACCAATTACAACATCACAAAAAAAATGGTCATATTCTTGAAGTAATCATTACAAGTTTCTTCTGACCACTGTCAAGCAGTACAAGCAGTACAGAGCTGGTACTAGAGTAGATTTGCTAGCCACACGCCCGCCGGGCGCGGGCCTGCCTCAGTTGCTCAAGCGCGGTGCCGTCTCCGATTCACAATTCGGGGCGCCACGGGCCACTACCACCGGACCACGCCCTTCAGTCAGATATACGGCCTCGGGCGCTTGCTGTGCGCGCGGGCGGCGGGCGCAGTCTTCTCGGCCGCGGCATGCTTGCGCCATTCCCGCGTCCAGAAGACCAGCCGCCGCAATTCGCCACCGCTAGCTCGCCTGCGAACAGAGCACGTACACCGAATGGCCTATGCGTGTTCCTTCCATCGATCCGTCACCACACGAGCTCCTCCGCCGCCGCCCGCTGCAGCAACGGCCGCGCCGCGATGTCTCGCCCGCTGGCGGCCGGCGCGCGGCAGCCGAAGGAACGGCCGCGGCGCTCCTCGGAGGAGACGCGGCGGAGGACGTCCCGGAAGCGGTCCTCGTCGCAGGGGAGCGCGATGGGGCCGCACGCGCCGGTCCGGAAGCCGTACTCCTCCTCCGCCTGCCGGAGCAGCTCGAGGAAGACGGGGTGGTTCAGGTGCGCCGCCCGCACCACGAACCGCCGCGAGGCCCCGCCCACGCACACCGCCACGTGCCCTGCCGGCACCGCGCCGCCCTCGGCCACGCGCGCCGCGGCGCGGGACCGCCACCTCCGCAGGGTCTGCCGGAGCCAGACGATGTCGCGGATCTTGCTGCATTTGGCCATCGGCAGTTGAGACTTGAGAGCAGAGCTTCTGTTGGCCTGCTGCGCTGCTGGTCGTGGGTTAACGGTGGAGGAGGACAAGTTGGTGAAATGGAGCTGGCTGGCTTCTGGTGGAGGGAGGGGTGGGAGATTTTATAGGATGCTGGAAATTTTGGGACTTGGGTTCGTCATCGTCCAATTGGCCTGGATCAAATAATCTGAGCTGTGTGAAGGGGATGGGGCTATGTTCTTCCATGTAACATTTACTGTGTTCCCTATATGGCTGTCATTCACATTGTGAACCACATATGCCAGGCGGGTGTTTATCCTACGTTAGTCAATAACTTGTCCTGACGAAGCTGTATGGCCGTGTTACATGCACGTACGCCCGGTGTCCCGTGACTTCACTGATTCCGTTACAGAAAAAAGTGCGGATCACTGTTGCCGCTGCCAATCAATTACTCCCTCCGTTCCTAAATATTTGTCTTTCTACACATTTCAAATGGTTACAACATACGGATGTATGTAGACATATTTTAGAGTGTAGGTTCATTTATTTTGCTTTGTATGTAGTCATTTGTTGAAATCGCTAGAAAGACAAATATTTAGAAATAGATGGAGTACTAAAAGAAAAGGCTCTAGAATTATTACAAGACAAAAGCATGTATTCCTCCGTTCCAAAATAGTAGATGACACGCAGTGCTGCACCGTAACAGTTTTCCGAGGGTTACGCGGGGTCACATGCACATGGTCACGTCGCATCGGCGTTTGCGTGGTTGGGGAGAGCCCAAGAAAGGAAGAGAATCGTCTGGTCACCAGCCCAAGCGCTCGCGGTCAGGTGCCGGAGGTGCATGTGCCCGGCGGGCATTCGATCCCAGCAGCATGTGGCCTCGTCTCGTCTGACGGGGAGGGGACGATATCTCAGTCGGATTTTGGCGCCGCGCTGTGCGGTATATCCTTGCCGGAGTTGTGGCTTTCACAAGATCGCCATGCGGATTCCAGGCCACGCATCCTCGTGCTCAGCGCTATATGGATGTGCATGCGCCCGTCAACTTTTGTGCTATCCTTTCAAAATAAAATAAAAAACACTTTAGTGCTAGCTGCTCGTAAGAGTTGATTAGCAAAACTGCTGCCAAAACGAGACGTGAGTGCCGATGCTGATCCCCTGTTCCAGCCATGGTATCGGTTAACCTCCCTCGGTTAAGACGGCACGCTTGCTGGTACTACTACGTGCTAGGCAAGTCATCATGGCTTTCAACCGATTCTTCTTCCAACTTTGGCTAGCGAGTACTAGCTTCTTGATACGGATACGATGCGGCACCCACGCGCGCTCCCGCTCGGCCCGATCGACATGCGGGCCGCGGCGGGATGATGCCACCCCCCGTCCCATGTGCGTGCGCCCGTGCGGGGTTGGCGTCCTACGCCGCCGAGGGAGTGGGCGCGGGGTATTCTCATGCGTAGAGCATCTCTAGCAGAGCCTTCAAACCCTCAACCCCTTATAAATAACTGCTTTTTTACTATTTACAAGTAACAATCGCATAGACTAGAACTCCTTAACCCTCAAACTCTTAATTTTTTTTAAGGATCCAACCCTCAAACCCTCTCCCAACCCTGAAAAGTAAGGGTTGGGGAGCAAAACCTATCTCAACCCTCATTTAACGGTTATCCTCGTGCGGGACGGAAAAATTCTCCCAACTCCCGCGCCCACGCCCGCGCCTGCCGCTGCTAGTCGCCCCCGTTGCCGCCGGCCGCCCATTCGACCTCCCGCGCGCCCGCGCCCGCCCCGCCCCCAGCCGCCGGCCTCTCCTCCACCTGCTCCCTGCCGCGGTCGCGCTCGCCCCGCCCCCGACCGTCGCCATCCGTCCCGCCGCCCGGCGGCCCGCCGGCTTCTACTCCCGCGCTCCCGCCCGCCG